AAGAAGAGATTTTCTATATTATAATACTCTGTTAATTTTCTCTAATTTACAACTGGGTAGAAGTAAGAGCTATTTTTTTTTAATCTATATTAATGTATACACTCCTAATATTTTTTTTTTCTTTTTTTCCCTTATTTTTGCATTCCACAAATTTAAATTTTAGAACTTTTAGTTTACTAGCTTCATTGAAATCTTGAAACAAAGATTATTGCAGTGTATGAAATGTGTAATTTTTCAATTGTTTTTCCACTTAAAAGACCTTGATCATGGTTACAAACACCATTCAACGATATTAATTTTCCTTTGTTCTTTAAATTGAATTCAGTTATGCCTAGGTTGGCTTATGCTTTAATGTATCATAAAATTGTCTTTTTTCACCTATGTCGCAAATGGATACCTTCCCTTTGAATGCCTGTTGGTTTTCGATACATAAGTCCAATTTTATCGATTTATACGTTTTTAAAGGGTATGGGTGTAAAACAACAAACAAATTATATAAATGGAGTTTAGAACGTTTATATGTTCCGACACCGATATCGGCATTTTAAAAATGATATTATTTTCTTTCCTTTTTCTGCAAAAGTTGCCAATGTTTTGACATTTGATGACAATGAAAGACTAATTTTTGATAATTGGACACCTGTGCCGTATCAGAACTGGAATTCAGACGACGAGGATGAGACAGCAGTTGACCCTATCTGACTTATCATAACAACGGTAGGTGGCGCTGGGTTACTGAGAGGAATTACACGTACTATACAGGAGAAGAAGGACTAAAACTTCCCTTTATTTGTGAGGATTCTCCGTTTTATTTGGAGCCGGAAGAGTGTTCTATTACGTAATGTTTCATTGTTTTAAAATGAAAATAAACTTTTGCCACCATTATATTTTTATCATTGAAAAATTGGCATTTGGACTAGTGAGTAAAAAATGTAAATAATTGAATGTAATCTTCTAAATTTTAGGTAGTATATTTGTCTTCTAGGAAGAGATTTATCCTCAAGTTTTTAAGTAAACCACAGATAGCATGTAGACAAAATGTACCATGTGGCGTCCCGTTATCTTTGCACTTCCTCATGGAAACTTATTGGCAGGATAACATGTAGACAAAATGCATATTGTAGCGTTTCGTTATCATTGCACTTCTTCAGGAATACTTACGTTCAGATCTCTTCTTTCCATATGTAGAAAATAAAACTTAACAACAAGTGTTATTAGAAATTTTTTATGCACCCGTAATCGAAGATTCGGGGAAATATATATTTTGCTCTAACTGTCCGTCTGTCTTTCTGTGTCTCTGTTGGTCAGTTTATCTGTTTGTCTGTTAGTCCGTAAAATAAAAACTTTAACCTTACCCATAATTTTGATTGGTTTAAAAATGGTTTTCTTTCTTTTCAGGTGTATTCCATGCAAAAAGACCTTTCCTAGGGTGTAAATATTTTTGACCTTTTGAACTTGATCTTGGAGTTTGACACACTTTAAAAAAATTACCAAATTTTAACCTTGGTCAATTCTATTGAACGGTTAAATCAGGTAGTTACATGCACCACATGTTCATTTCTTTTGACAAGACCTCCTCCTATAGGTACCAACAATATTGACCATTTGACCTTGACCTCATGAGTTTGACCTACTTTTGAAAAACTTTAACCTTGGCCGTAAATTCTGAATGGTGAGTGCTAGGGCTTTAATATTTCACTGCTTTATTTCTTGTGCCAAGAGCTTTCCTTGAATACCGACATTTTTTACCCTTTGATCTTGACCTCAGACTTTGACCTCTTTTGAAAATCTTCGGTCAATACTTTTTAATGGCTGATTCTAAAACTTTCGTAATTCACCTGTGTATTTCTTCTGAAATTCATTTGTGTACTATTAATTTTGGCCTTTTGGCCTGACAATTTTTGACTAATTTTTGAAAATCTTTAATTTTGGCAATAATTATTGAACTGTTGGTGCTTTTATAGCTTTTACATTTCAAAGGTGAACTCATTTTGACAAGATCTTTTTTTGAGTACCAACAATGATGATCTCTTGACCTTGACCTTAGAGTTTAACTTGCAAATGACAACCTTCGCGATAAGCGGCCATACGAGGGCATAATTGTTTCCCCAAAACATCTTGTTGTATTAACATCAGCTCCTAAAAAAACTTTTTCTCTTTATTGGACTACAAATACCAAACTGCAGTCTATCTATATATATTTTTTTGAAATATGTATCATAGTCCATACACCGCATAATAGAGAATGAATTGTCTTAACACAGACTTAAGCATTGAATCATTTTTTTTAAAATGTTGTCTCATAATATTAACGGTGAGTGCAAACAAATTGAGAAACGGAAGCTAGCGCTTTATGAAAATTTGTTTGTACACACCATTGCTGATTCGAGACGGCATCTTTCAAAAAATAATGATTCAATGCTTATATATACTTTTTTTTTACTCCTCGCCTTGCCTTTTTTTTTTAAAGAATATTCGTATTATCCATCGGGTAGATTACAATTAATAGAAATAAACGTGAATTTTGATTTCCGGTTATGACATTGCACTTACACGGCGTTGAACATTTGTGACGTCAAAATTAAATGCATACTATAACCTTTTGCGCCTCCCCCGTCTTTGTTATTGTGTTTTGAATGCGTAACTATCAACACATTTTATAAACAAAATACTTGTGAAATATAAATATATGTATCTGTGTTTCAACCCGAACAAAAATTACAGTGACGATATTTGTCTTCGATGACGGATCTTGTACATTTAAGAGCGGAAAACTCTATTTTTTATTCTTTTTAAATAATTATCTGTAGCAATAAAAGATATTTATCTTCAGAAAATGTGATGTTTTGACTCTAACCTCATAATATACCCTTGCTAAAAACATAAGACCTCTAAGACGTACGAATCTGGCATCATTGCGTTTCTTGCCAGAAAAAAAAGCCAAACAAATATATTAATTGTATAATTCAATTTGTAGAAAGAAATATGAAGTACATCTGATGTCAAATATTTAGCTCATTTTTTTCCCACAAAATAAAAATGGACCAAGAGCATCCAAAAAAAAAAAAAAAAAAAAAAAAAAAAAAAAAAAAAAAAAAGAGCAAATATTGTTATGAATATAAAGTATATTAAGTATATAATGGATTATGTCTGCTCATCCATTCAAAATATGCATGCATGGAAAAAAGATGAGGGATATCTCTTTAAAGAAATATAATCCTGGATATATTGTGCTGCGGAACATGAACATCAAATGTAACTAATTATGATTAGGTTATAAAATATCTTGAATACAATGAAACGTGTTTTATCCGACATGCACTGGGAGAAAATAAACATGAAGTAAGATTACACAGTGTAAAGATTATAGAAATTAGTAGAAATGAGAATGAAATTCAATGTCGGAATTCACAGATTGTACAGGTGTCGGAGAAAACAGTTTCCACTGTAATACTTTTTATAATAGAACAATCTTTATCCCAATTATCCGTCAAAGCATCTTCATGTGGCAGTGTTTGTAAATAAGAACGAAATATTTCTAATTTCCAATTTAGTACAACACATATTATGTACAGCTTTAACTGGGTACATTTGGTAAGGAAAAAATTGATAAAACATTACTGCTTCAGCAAATAGTTCAACGACAAAACCCCCTCAAAACACAATCCTTTACAAGTTTTCTCTCTTAATATATAACATTATCAAAAAAAAAAAAAAAAAAAAAAAAAAAAAAAAATGAATAGAATCCCATGATAAATTTAAAATTCTCTTTTATCAGAAATTTTACATTTGACTGATTGATGATCGTCGCGGCTAGGATAAGGCTGTCCGAAGAATGTCACAGTGTACCAGCCGCAGCAACTTCTCTGAACTACCTAGATATGACGTCATAATGGCATATGACGTCAAGTCACTGCAAATTTGAGCAGATATAACGGGGAAAGTGTCATAACTTTTACATTCCTTTCACATCACATGTGGAATTTTTTACGTTGATGTTTAGTTCTTGTGTCTGGATTGTTGTTTTAAGGCTGTTATGATGGTGAATATTTGCAGTATAATATCGTTATTCCTTTTTCTTGTCTAACATGTACGTATTCAAACAATTACAATAAAAATGTGAAACGCTCCCCCTTACTTGTCTGTAGACAGAGTGAGAATTTATAAATCGTGTACATATCAGACTGGCACAAGTGAATAATAAGGGTCAATTGAAGATATTCTTTGTGAATCTACTAGAGAAATATGTCCTTTAACTGAGTTTTGCTGGGGGATTGTATGTAATTTATCCCATTTTGTATAAATTGCGATGAAGAGTGGAAAATGACCCCTTGTATGTGGGTAAGTTGAATTTCTCGTGAAATATTTTCTTAAGAAATAAAATTCAGACTTGCCCCCAGCACTTTATATATACCCAAGAATACGTTTAATTGATTTATGTAACAAGCCGTTCACAATTATTTTGTTTTTCACTTGTGCCGATGCGATTTTTGTCCAAGATTTAGGAAAATTTATAAGTGTCCGTCACGTGATCAAACAGTCATGTGACATCACAGAAATGCTTGTTTATAATACCTTATTCAACTCTCTTTACAACTAAATGGTGTATGTATACAAAGAGTACAAATTGAAATCAAAACATAGCTCAAAATAAAATAGTATATATCTAATGCATATTAAGCATTCGGACAGCATTAACATAGCTGCGGTCGTCAATTTGAGGCCTGGTCTCTCAATTTTGAATGTCCATCTGTTGTAAGTAAAAAAAAAAATAATAATAAAAGTATTAAATAATGTTTAAGAAAAATTAAAGGGTATGTTTTATAAAAAAAAAGATAAAAGAATTAAATAATTTTTTATGAAAAAAGTAAAAGAATTTAATAATGTTTCAGAAAAAAAGGCATGTTTTATGCCTTTTACTAATATTCTAATAACCGTTTAAAATGTTCAAGGAAATACCAAATATTAAATACGGGTTTTTAAGATTGAGTGTTGTTTACCTAGTGACGTTTTATCAACATCAGAGTCCCCCTCACAGTTGTCCCCCTCCTTAATGTAGACAACCAAGGTGCCCACCAGTATGCCGGGTACCAGGGACCGTTGAGGAAGGCGATGTGACAGGCCTTAAACCACCAGCCTCCTTTATAGTCAGCAGCACAGTTACCATACTTTTTCCTGTCGTTATCCCTGTCTGGTGTACTGAAGTACATCCCAGACAGATCATAGTAAATTGGATAACCAGTGTCTAACATACTGTCACCTGTAGAGAAAATACATCACAGAGATCATTGATTGATTCATTTAAGGTTTGAATCATTATTTTATACAGGATATAGTTTCATAACTGCAACAGTATGTGCAAACGAATTGAGTAACGAGCTTTATCGCTTATATTATTTTACATTTTTAACTCCTTGCATTGACTGTAAATTTGATTTAGATTTCAAAATCCCTGTATTATCATTAATAACAAACAAACAAAACAATACAAAAACTAATAACAATGGCGGATCAAAGGTTGCTACTGAATATAGTTAAAACTAGAGCTGAGCTCGTTGCAGAGCAACGAATAGGTCTTCCGTTGGAGCAGTGACCTTGAGTCAAGGTCATGCCTTATTCTAAGATAATAAATAATCTTGTAAGGGACCTATCAACTTGCAATGTTTCGCCAGTAGAAAGACAATAAAATAATGTACACTTTCTATTTCGTGACCTTGAACTTGTCCAAATGACCTTGCGTCAAGCCATGACATACTCTGGTTATGACGCAAACCTATCTGTGTTACCGATTTGACAAATTCACATATGTTCTCTCAGACCACACATCCAGTAAAAGCATTTTGTTCTTAATGACCTTGAACTTGAGTCAAGGCCATGACACAGTCTGTATGATACCAACAATACCCTTCTGAGTGTTTCCGACTTGACATGTTTACACATGTTTTTTTTTTTTTATTTCGTTTCCATATAGTTGTAATTTATTAAACTCGCTGGCTTCAAATTTTATTGTAAATATGTTTTATGTCCAATTTCGATATTGAAAAATGTCGGCGTCTTTGAGTACGTGTACAATGTGCATTACGTTATCCTATCACATCATGTTTTATAACGCAGACCATACATGTATATATAGTCAGCGTTATAAAAAGGTGAAAAAAAACCCAACATTTTATTCATTAAAAATCTCTGCTTAATTATCTTTGCCGATTTCTTACAGAACTAGAGTGTTCCAAGGAACGCATGTGTCGCCTACTTTTAGCTTCATTAAAGATGTAACTAAGTGTAAAAGTGATCAGCTATTTATTTGCTGCGGCATGGCATATAGTTCATGCAAAAAAAAAAAAAAAATACAGGGGTAGTAAGACTGCGATAGAATCTAACAATCAAATAGAAATACAAATCCTTAACGCCTCAAAGCTAAAATGGATATTAATAAAATTTGGATAAATTTATTATAAATAATTATTTATAAATTAATTAAATACGTGATTTCAACAATCTTTCAAAAGAGACTTCAGTCTATCATATCCGCAATTGTCAGTCTACACCATCCATTTTGGAATACCGATCCCGTTGTATTTTCATAGTACTTAAATTTCAGTTTTTGTGGTGTCTTTATTTCATACAGTGTCAAAGTACATTGTCATGAGCTCATAAACATGTATAAATATTAATTATCAAACCCCTGCCTCTCTAATTTCAAAAGACATAAGTTAAATTTAACCCTCCGCAGTATATTTTGCAAAATAGGTCAAAGGTCAAGGTCAAGTGAACTGTAACGCTGGTGTTTTTCAAAATGTTTTACAACAAACAGTGCACATTCAAAATAGCATAGACTTACCTCTTAAATATCAAAAAGAAGTTGTATATCGGCATTATTGGTTATTTTGAAAAGTGGGTCAAAGGTCAAGTTCAAGGATATCTAGGTCGGAAGCCATGGTAAAATACAAAAGCCATAGTGTCAAGCTATATGTGCAAATTATCAGATCCATACCTCTTAGAGTTCTCGAGATATAAGGTGTGACAGACGGACAGCAAGACAGACAGACGGACGCCTGGCAAATTGATCCCTTAATGCTGCTCTGCTCTGCAGGCGACACAAAAATGTTTGTTTGATTGTCTGTTTGTTGCTTAACGTCCATTGAGCTGCCAGCATTTGCCAGTGCCCAGAGGGCTGCAAATTAAGGCCTGCACTCGGCACTTACGACCTTTGAGCAGTGAGGGATCTTTTTTTCATGCCAGAACCTACTGCTACACGGGACCTCGTTTATACGCTCAAACCACTGCGCCACGCGGGCGACATGGTGGTATTCGAAACTGCGACTCCGAATCGTAGGGGTAGAAACATTTTGATAAAGGTACTATCATTATGAAAATCATTTTTTGACTCAAGCCTGTTGAAAGCAATTTCTTTTTTTCTGGGATGGGGCACAAACAATCAAAAATTTTTTGATATATAAGAAAAAAAACCAAAAACGTAATTGCGGGGGGGGGGGGGGCACGACCGTATAGCTTTAAGCTATATAGTAAATAAGAAGGAATAACTTGTTATTTGTCAAAATCTTTTACCTAAACTCTTCACTTTTAATTGTCAATAACAGATTCTTGTTACAAAGTGAAAAGTATACATTTATATGTAGTACAGGTATCCATCTCATATGCATAATCTATTTAATCAATCATTTTATTCTTAAGGGAAAGTGAAATCTCAATCAAAACTTGTCACAAGTACCGGACTCTCTGATTGATTATAATATACATGTAAGAACGGATCGTCAATTAGGACTGCAGGTTTGATAAATTCACAGCATGCATCTTCAGCCTTAATTAAAACGTTGTTTCGAAATATTACACTGTATCTATAAAGCACTGTATCTATAAAGCAGTGGCACCAGAAGTTTACAATTTTGATTGACAGGTGTAGCGCCGTGCAAGAATTTCATGTACATGTAACTATGTACAAAAAAGAAATGAAGGGATCTAAAGAAAAGAGTTATTGTGATTGACGTTGTGATTACAACAGAGACAATTAAAAGTAGTTTGGCTGTGCTGGCCTTTCTGACATTTGAACTAAAGTTTTAACTCATCATTGAAATGAAGTTGTAAAAGTGTATTATCAATTATTTTCATTTTCATCATTAGATGTGTGCTAATATGTTTGTTATATTCAAGTCCATGTATATTCAGTCCTTGTACATTTTTTTTTTCTTTTGAACCGCGCGTGCATGCGCAGGTGGAATTAAATTATAAAAAGTTAATATAGTTCTTAAATGCATGACATTTACGTTACACTGTTCTGGACATTGAAAATAATTAAGCTTATAGTGTTGCCGATGTTTTATATGTATTTTAAAAAATATGTATAACATAAAACATGTATTTTAAAAAAATCAGCACACTATAGCCTTTCAGATACTTATACATACAAATCAAATTACATATAATATGAAATATTTTATTGAAAAATGACGATCTCTTCTCTGTAAACAGGTAGACATTGAAGGCGAAAAGGGGCTCGAATAGCCGCCAGGTTTTTTTTTTTTTTTGTTCGGAACGTGTACAGTTATCTTGGACGACGCATCGCGTACAAGTACAGTGTACAAAACAGCAGTGAAAATAAAAATAATGAACTCAAAGTTTAATTCTCTTCTCTCAATTATTTTTTGAAATATAATTACCAACCAATATATGTTTTGTTGTTTTTTTTTTTTTACCAGAGTGTATACAAAGCGACTTTTCAAGCGGTACATCAAAGCGTTTGACGCGTGACCAGGTACATGTAATTGCTTTATAAGCATGCAAACTCAGACTATCAGGTAGCACAGGCTGCTTCTCTGTCAATCAAATCAGAAGCTATTGTTTTATTTTTGTATGATTGACGGGCGGTATATTATCGATCTTAAGCTAGGTAGATTTTGTGGGCGTTAATGAAAATTGGGTGTTTAATAAAAGCACACGTACTTGCCATATGCTGGAGTTACAAAACATTGTATGTCAAGTTAGAATTATCTGCAGAATTAACCACACGCAATGAATCTCCGAAATTAAACACACAATAACACATAACTGAGAAATAAATGGTTTATTAAATACATGTACATGTATGCAGTTTTAAGATTAGGATTCATGAAATCGGGGACCTTTATACGCCCTTAATAGAATGTTCTGGATTTAAATTAAATCAAATTAAGATAAGATTAAATGATTTGATTGAATGATCCGATATGATTAAAAAAAATAATTTTCCGTAAATCATTGTGTTAGCAAAATGAATATAGAATGACAATGTTTTGTGTTTGAGCGCTAATAGCTGCTTCCTCGGCCATATGCTGTCGAGGGAAAGATAACATAATTGTAAACAAACACAAAACCCGGGATGTATGTGAAATGCGGTTAAATGCAGTTAAAGACTGATTTATTTCTTGCTAACATTTTTAAAATTTAATATAGTGTATGTTTCAACATTAAACGACGAAAAGATGTTTTGTTTACGAACGCTGGTCGTTGGTTCACACGCAATGGATCTCTTGTGATTTCCGCCACAATAATGTAATAAGTATATCACCAATTTGACCAACAATAGATAAGATGAGATAATTTGAAAGATCCCACATGATTAAAAAACACAATTATCCGTGCATCGTTGAGTTTGCAACATAGATTTAGAACGGCAATGCCTGTTTAGTGTATGACCACTGATCACTGGATCTAGGTCACGCGTGATCGGGGGATGACCGGTTACGTAAATATACACAAAAAGAAATCCCGAGACGTATTGAAAATGTGTAACTCAATAATTTGGAATGAAGCCACAGAACACGTATAAACTTATTTCAAAGTAATATTAGTATTTATTTTGGATAGGTTTATCATTTATAGCAAGTTTGTTTCAGTTATGCGCATAATGATTTCACCTTCACTTGTCTACTGAAACTAGTTACCTGTATATGGGTCAAGCTTCTAGCTCATTTATTAAACAAGACTCGAACAAAATAACAAGTTCATGAGATCAATAATATGTTAAAGAACAACTTTTAAGCGACAGCTATATCGAAATATTTACCGTTTTTGAGTTATAAAACGAAAACTTTCAAGGACCCTAGATCCCTAATTTAAGGGACCAGCCCCTTTTTGGTGGTGCCAAATGAAAGACCTTAAACTTGTGCACAACTTTTATTTAACATATCTTAACAAAATATTTTTAGTTTACAAGATACATAGGAAATATGTGTAAATTTTCGCGCTTTTAGGCGTTCTAATTTTTGACCCCTATCTAGCGCCATTTTGAACGCAGAAATCAAAAAACAAAAATAGATGTGCACAACTTCAATGCCTCTATTATTCAAATTAAGTAGTATTTCTGCTCCAGCTTTTTTAGTCTCTGAGCCTTTGTCTGGAACGAAACCCCCAAAATTTTCATTTAAAGGGAAATAATTCCAAAGCGGAAGGGGACTTTTTAAATGTATGACAGCATTCTGATAGAGTTCTGTAACGTCTATAAATTCTGAAAATTTGAGCAAAATCTGTTGAGAAGTGAGCGAGACATGAGGTCTCAAAGTTGGCGTCTAGAAAGGAGAAGAAAAAAAAAAGAATAATAATCTTAACCATCAGAATCAGTAGAAGGTCTTCCGTTGTGACCGAAAACCTTAAAAAATAATATAATTTTCTTTTGTTTTTAAAGATATCATTTAAAATTTTCCAACTACTAAGCAATGAGAAATTCAATTACCGCGGAATTCGTAAATTATGTCTACCAATGATATCGTAAAATATTAAAATCATGGAATTAAAGACGCTTACTGAATATTAGAAAAATATATCTGTATATTTTTGCAACAACTTATTAATCTTTCTATGCATAGAAGCATATAATTTTATACTTGATTTGTAACTAATTTTAAGAACTTAACTTAATTACACGTACCTACGGTTCCCGTGGCAGGTCCTGCTAGAAAGAGTTGATATTTCTCTGTTTCATTGGAAACAGAGAATCGATCGTACATTTCATACAGCTTTGTACCATTCTGTAGAGTGATGGACACATAAAGAAATGGGTTCTTTTCTTTTGTTAACTGATGTATTACGTCATTTCCTGCATTAAGATATATTTGAAATCAACTGTAAAGTCTATTGAAATACAATAATTCTATTTTAAATATGAATACACATTAATGAAAAATCAAATTATTTTCTTAAGCTGTAGACATTGTTGCTAAATTTGGTATCTTTCAAAGACCATACCGCTGAGTGATGTAATCCTCTCGCTCTCATTTGTTTGTTTGTTTGTTTTTTTTTTTTTTTTTTTTTTTTGTCAGATTACAATTCATGTCATGAACATATATTTCAGACTTACAATCAAATGTTTGATGTGATTCCATTTTTTATTTATCACAGTAAAGCAATTTTGGAAAATTTTGAAGCAGATGAAAGTCCTTATTTGATAGTGATTTACACTTACCAACCCAGACATTCTGTTCAGGTGAACCGAAACCATTTTTATAATCTGTCCAACTCCTGTCAAAACTCAGAGATCCGTTTACACGTTTTTGGATTGCCTTTCAAAGTGAAGAACATGTATAGCAATACAATTCATTGTTTCAAACAATTGTATGATCAATATATTATGATATAAACTAAGAATATTCATATTTTATGATTCTTTATTGTTTTGAACAAAGGAATCACTAAATATGAATTATATAATGTTCCCTAAATTTGAAATAAACTACATACCGTCCATCCTCCGCCCATTGTTACCATATAACAGTAAACCCTGACAGGACTGGTAATGGTTCCATAGGGATAAATTTCATACACTCCTGAATAAGTGTGACCATCTTCATGAAGATCCTTACAATCTATGGGAATAACTAAAGCAGAAAAATAAACTTACAATCTACAATAATAGAATTATTTGTTGCCGTCTCACCAGTATACTAGTATGCTTTTATAAGATCTACATTATTGTTTAACGTTGAGTTACCAGAATCGCAGTATATATTAAAATTTAAAAAGTGTTTTACCCCACCCCTTTTTCCTTTAATTTTCAGTTCAGTCTATAACTTATATTAAGCTAGCATATATTGAAAAAACAACCCCCCTTTTTCCTTACTATTTGAAATTGTATCAACTCTCATCTTTATTTTCCCTATTTTTTGCGTTGACATTATACTACATGTATGGCCGGCCACCAAAAAAAATGATTGCTTCAGTCTCCTCGCTTGGCTGACTTGGTGGTTTGTTTATTTATATATGATTTAGTTATTTAAAAGAAAAAATAGATATATTAAATATATTTATACGGTCATGGAGAGGCCTGTCCATTTCTACTTCACTAGGGAAGTGTTGAGAAGAGGGAACAGTGATTTGAGGCTGTAAGCATAAGGTGAACAAATAAGAAAATTAAAAATTCTTATCACCAATGAACGACTTATCCTAATAAGATTTATTAAATATATACACAGGTTAGTAAGAGCATATATAATACCTTTAAGAGTGATTAAGGTTATTTGCTGAAGTTAAGTTGTAAACTACAACGTAGATTATGTTAAACTGCTCCTCATTACTAAACATTATTTAACTTTCATAAATTTGTAAAGTCTTTAATCTATAATTTCTTTAAAAATACCGGATGACAGAGAATGCTAAGTAGTCAATTGCGCAGGGTTCCCATCTCACCTTTCAGAACAGTTATTGCAAGATAATAGTTTAGAGTTACTAAAGCTTGAAGGGCATTCTTTTTTTTTTAGTACAAAAACAAAAAAAAACAAAAAAAAACTTCCCTATGATTAAGAGTGGTATAATGTTATGAAGCTTAAAATAAAGTTCATTTCTGTATTGTCACAGTGTAAGCTCTGTTTTTTTTTTTTTTTTTTTTTTTTTTTTTTTTTTTTTTTTTTTCACTAGTATTTCCTTCACAGTAGAAGTTCAAAATTTTTATCAAAGATAAAACTAACAAAAGTAAAAATATATAAAAAATAATTTCTTCAATTTCAAATTCAGTTTTCATTCAAAATATGATTAATTAGAATAAATAAGTAAACAAACAGGACTATTATTTAGATTAAATAATGCTGAGAGATAAGAACGAATGATGTTTATGTGAATTGTGGCAAACGAAAAAAAATAACAATTATACATACAGTCATGGGAATAATATCTCCAGCCCCCCTCATGAGACATCGACGACGTGAAAATCTTCTTGTGGGTTCGACAATTCTTCATCTGAGGATTAAATCCATAGAAACTACACGCCATTTGACAGCGCGCTCCACACTCTATAACCGATGTAGAATTGTATTCTCCTAAAAGTTCGTCATTTGATTTCTTATCATCCATTTCCAGTTTTGCAGTATATTTTCGCGAAATAATGGTAGACTGAGACACAGCAAAGACGACAAAAATTAAATAGATAGCCCAAAGAGCGCCCATATCGTAATTTTATTTAAAGCTACTTGCTGCGTAGCTGCGTTCTTGTAAGAATTTGCAATATGGTATATCAAACGCCAAATATAAATATCAAAACATATATCACTTACTTAAAAGTGATTGGCTAACTGTTACGTACTCTGTATGTTTCATTCATTAAAATATCGATTTGTTGAGTCTGATATAGATAACCATACATGTTTACTTTGCAAATCTAAATATTAAAATGAAAGTTTTCTTCTAATTAATGCAGAGTTCATGTCTATTGCATGTCCAATATTAATTCAGTGTTATGTGTTTCTGAATTAGCTATCCTTAAATTATCGAACTTTTAAAATTTTATTTTCTTCATTAGATGAAGATTTCCATCTCCTAATAAAATTAAAATTTAAATACTTAAAGGTCATAGGACAGCTATCTTATTTGACAATAATATATAGATTTTTTCTTCAAGTGCTTCGACTTTTGTTTATGCTTTTAAGCCTTAAAAATTCGTCAGCAACACCTTATTATTTGACTTATTTAAAATCTGAAAACATTGTCAAATAAAAAAAAATGGCGAAGATGACAAACAGTAGTCGATCTAAAATGAATACTCAACAATACAAATCTGTAAACAGGGCATAATGCATGGACCCCTGGGAATTTCAGGGTGGGATCAGGTGCCTAGCAGGAGTAAGCATGCTCTGTTGTCCAACCTCCTTTATTGATAAGTTGGACCGGTGGAGAATCAGTTGTCAAATTTTGTGTAAAAACAAAGTGTGTAATTGATATTGAAGACGAGCAAATGATAAATTGTATTTTCTAACAAGTTCCTTATAATGACAAATGAATTAATTAAATGTAAATCTTTTCGGTCAGCCTTTTTTGTGATGTTACGATTTCTTGTTTCTTATTTTTTTAATATTCATTTTCGTTGATTTTTATCGTTTAAAGCCTTCAAAATTATTTAAAATTTAGATTTTCGACAGAATCGATCAAGCTCTTTTCATAAAAGAAATATTTTAGTAATTTCCTTGTGCTATTGTTGATTGCAATAAAAATCAGGTATATTATGATAATTCTGTAACTATGTTGATGTGGATTTCAGGATTTTATTACAATATTGAACTTTCAGAAAAACTTCAAAGCATATGGCTTTTAAAAATATTAAAATAAGGGGTTTCCACAAATTATACTGGATATATTAAAAAGTGAATTCTACGGAGCTTAATTTTATTGGATATTTATTCTATTATAAGAAAGACATGTTCGAAAAAATATCACTAAAACATTTTATCTGAAGAGAACTTGCTTAAAAATAGTAAGTGTACGCATCATTTGTTTTAAAAGTATTTAGATGGGATAACCTGAAATTTATATGCAATCAAACCTCTTAATGTCGATGGGACCTGTTCCTATCCTTTAGATATATTAATACACAATAGATAAATAAATTTAAATCATCAGTTGACACTAATTCCGAGAAATTGTGAAAATTTTGATTTATTTCAATATGTTTTAAATCGATACTTTTTCCGGCATTCTGAATGATTGACGTTCTAGAGTGATACTCATCTCCCGTTTTTCCTTAATACAGATGCAAGCTCCATGATTTCGGGTTCTCCATACAATCTTCCAGTCTCAACTGGAACAATGAATTGTTGTTCTATATTGAATTCGTATAGAGCCAAATAGTTCACTACTGCATCATCGTTCTAAATAAGAAATATTCTAGGGTTCAAAATGTTTAGAAAATATGTGCTTGGGACTTCTTATCACTTCAACATATCCATGGTATTGGAGATATCCGTGTTCAGGATACTAAAGTTTAAGTGTGGTTTTCTTAAAAAAAAAGTCCATTTTTAGTGAGGCAAAATACTTCCATGTTTTCTTCTCTGTCTAAATAATGGGTTGATCCTACCAAAGATTTAACATTTATTTTAATTTTCGATAATCGACGCAAACGTTAGTATCCTTCACTATTGCTTGAATCTAATATGATGACATTTATGAAGATCCTCTTTAGAGAAAACAGAAAAATGTTAAACAGTATATATGATATGTTGATTTCAGTTGTTTTTTTTTTTTTTTTTTTTTTTTTTTTTTTTTTTTTTTTAACCAATTACCTTTGAGGTTTTTTTTTTTCAGTGGCAGGATAAATTATGAGGTTTCACTAGGAAAAACTTTGTTACAACATAATAATAATTCTTGTGTGGAACACATACACATAGTCATAGTAGATTCTTTTATTAATGACTTAATGCAGTTTATATGAATTTCATATGGACCCTCAGTTCACGAAGTTAGGTGCCTTTTATCCCCTCATCCTAATAACATGCCTATTTTGCATTTTTTGACTTGTCAGTCGCTCTAGAATGACGTCACAAAAACTTCTTGAAAGGTGTTGGGATTTGTGTTATACACATTTTAGAACCGAATAAATCAAGGAAACAATGAAAACTTAATTGAAACAAAATTTGATAAAAGTAAACTTATACAAAACAAAATAATTAACCCCCCCCCAAAAAAAAAGAAAAAAAACAACCATCGAACAAAAACAAAAAATAAAATAAAATAAAATAATGAAATGAAA